CAGCTGCTGTACCTCGTTTTGCTTCCATGCTGCTTGCCCCTGAGGGAGACCCGGATGCACCAGACATCCCGACCCCGCGCTCTTACGCAGAGACGATTACGGGTCCTTACTCCTCTCAGTGGCAGGCAGCCATGGATGCCGGGATGGCATCCTGGAAGTCCACAGGCACCAACGTCGACGAGGTTCCCCCACCTGGGGCGAACATAGTCGATGGCATGTGGATCATCAGGGTGAAGCGGCCGCCGGGTTCTCCGCCTGCCTTCAAGGCGCGTTACGTTGCTCGAGGTTTCAGTCAGCGACAGGGAGTTGACTACTTCCAGACCTTCTCCCCCACCCCGAAGATGACTACTCTTCGGGTGTTGCTGCACGTCGCTGCTCAGCGTGACTACGAGTTGCACTCTCTGGACTTCAGCACAGCTTTCTTGCAGGGCAGCCTGCACGAGGAGATCTGGCTGCGCCGCCCACCTGGTTTCACTGGGACGTTTCCTGCAGGTACCCAGTGGAGCCTCCGCCGGCCAGTCTACGGTCTCCGCCAGGCGCCTCACGAGTGGCACGACACGCCGACGACTACACTTGCGGCTCTTGGGTTTGCTCCTTCTACTGCGGACCCGTCGCTGTTGCTACGCACTGACACCTCTCTGCTGCTGTTCTACGTCCTCTTGTACGTCGACGACCTCGTCTTTGCCACTGCTGACACTGAGGCACTGATCCTTGTGAAGTCCGAGCTGCAGAAGAAACACACTTGCACTGACCTGGGTGAATTGCGCAGCTATCTTGGCCTGCAGATCACCCGGGTCAGAGCACATCGCACCGTCACACTGACTCAGTCACACATGGTGCACCAGGTCCTTCAGCGCTTTGGCTTCCAGTTCTCCTCGCCACAGCCCACTCTTCTGTCTACCAGCCACTCGCTCTCAGCTCCACCTTCGGACGAGTCCGTAGAGCCGAGTGGTCCGTACCTAGAGCTTGTGGGTTGCCTCATGTACCTGATGACTTGCACACGACCTGACCTCGCGTACCCTCTCAGCCTTCTGGCTTGCTACGTGGCTCCCGGTAGGCACCGAAAGGTGCACTGGGATGCTGCGAAGAGGGTACTGCGTTACCTGTGCAGTACGTCGGGCATGGGGCTCGTGCTTGGAGGACGGGGTCCAGTTGTTCTCACCGGTCACGCAGACGCCTCCTGGGTTGACGACTCAGCTACGCAGCGATCGTCACAGGGTTATACCTTCAGTCTTGGTTCTGGTTCTGTGTCGTGGCGATCTACCCGCTCGTCTTCGGTTCTCAGCTCCTGTTGTGAGGCTGAGATCTACGCTGGGGCTATGGCTGCTCAAGAGCTCCGCTGGCTAACCTACTTGTTGACGGACTTGGGAGAGCAGCCTCGTTCGTCTCCAGTTCTGTACGTAGACAACAAGGCCATGATTGCCTTGTGTCAGGAGCACAGACTGGAGCACAAAACGAAGCACATCGCTCTGCGATACTTCCTTGCTCGAGAGTTGCAGCAGCGTGGTCAGCTTCGTCTTGCGTACGTGGCCACTCGGGCCAACACTGTTGATGTCTTCACCAAGGCACTTCCGCCTGGTGATCATCAGCGCTTTACTACTCTGTTATGTCTTGTGCCCACTTTGCCTCACTTACTTACTGCTTGACTCTGCTTGTACTGTGATCTATATATATACCTGCATGCTTGCACTTGCTAGGGCATGATCACTGTATTGGTTGTTCTCTTTATATAACTCTGCATGTGAACTGGCCTTGTGGCCCTTTGCTTGTGCTCAGACTGTGTGGTGACTTTGTGATCCACCCTGAGCTTGCTTTGCTTTTCTTGACTGGTCTTGTGACCACTTGTTCTCCCCCACTTTGTCTATGGGGGTGTGTCAGAACATTATAGCTTATACATTTGTGTAGGCTGTAGTGGGGTAGCCCATATGGGGTACAACCCAATTATGGTTAGTACTTGTACCCAACTGTTTGCTAGTTCATTCATTCTCGTTCGTTACTTTCACAGTGCTGGAGGTACTGCTGGTGCTGGAGGCGCTGGAGCTGGAGGTACTGGAGGTACTAGAGGTTGTGGTGCTGCTGGTACTGGAGGTGCTAGGGGAGCTCCTGGCACTGGAGGTGCTGGAGGTACTAGTGGTGCTAGAGGTCCTGGCGCTGCCGGAGCTGCTGGTGCTGGAGGTGCTGCTGGAGCTGCTGGTGCTGGAGGTGCTGGTGCTGCTGGTGCTGGAGGAGTCGGAGCTGCTGGTACTGCCCTGCGCATACCATTTTTCTACCCACAGCCGTAGTCATCCCTGCCGCCACCTGACTCGGTCGTTCGCCAGGTTCTTAGTCTCCTGTCTTCCACGGGCCTCCCTCTACTCCTCCTGTGTCCACCGACAGACCACTCTCAGCCATAGCTACCACCTGGCTCCCCGCTGCCTGTGCTTGCTCCTCACACTAAGGTGACTGAGTCCCTGACTGAGCGTTGTGAGCCTGAGACTCGTGCTTTCACACCTGTTCGTGCTCGTCGTGTTGCCCGTCCTCGTCCTCCTGCTGTCCCAAGCACTCACGATATGGCACTTCGTCCTTCATCTGTTCCACAGTGTGTTGTCCTGCTTGAGCCTCCCGCGTCCTCTCTTCCGCACGTTCCTGTCCCTGTGTCCGACCTTGCTCGTGTTGCCAGTCCTACTGTCACTCGTCTCCTCGCTACTGTCATCACTGACCCTGACCTTGAGTCTACTGCAGCGTTTTCCCTAGTCACTGAGCTAGTCGACTTTGCAGCTAGGAGTCGTCTCGACTTCGTCACGAGTCTTGTCACTGAGTCTTAGTCTGTCTGTCCTCCGTCCGTCGGGGGTGATCTTGCCCTTGGCAGTGACGTACTTGACGACAGATAGTTTCAGCTTGAGTATCTTGTGGCCGCTTTACCTCGTTCCGCATCCATGCTGCTTTGCCCTGAGGGAGACCCGGATGCACTTGACATCCCTACCCCGCGCTCTTACGCTGAGCCGATCGCGGGTGAGTACTCCTCTCAGTGGCACACAGCCATGGACGCAGAGATGGCTTCCTGGAAGTCCACAGGCACCTACGTCGACAAGGTTCTTCCTCCTGAGGCGAACATAGTCGATGGCATTTGGATAACCCAGAGTGAAGCGGTGGCCGGGTTCTCCGCCTGCCTTCAAGGCGCGTTACATTGCTCGAGGCTTCAGTCAGCGACAGGGGGTCGACTACTTCCAGACCTTCTCCCCGACCTCGAAGATGACTACTCTTCGGGTGCTGCTGCACGTTGCAGCACAGCGTGACTACGAGCTGCACTCCCTCGACTTCTCCACACCTTTCCTGCAGGGCAGCCTTCACGATGAGATCTGGCTGCGCCGCCCACCCGGCTTCACTGGGTCGTTTCCTGCGGGTACCCAGTGGAGCCTCCAGCGGCCAGTCTACAGTCTCCGCCAGGCGCCCTGAGAGTGGCACAACACACTGAGGACTACACTTGCGGCTCTTGGGTTTGCTCCTTCCTCTGCTGACCCGTCGATGTTTCTACGCACCGACACTACCCTGCCGCCGTTCTACGTTCTAGTGTACGTCAACAACTTGGTTTTTTCTACTGCTGACACTAAGGCGCTGGCCCTAGAGAAGGCGGAGTTGCAGGAGAGACACACCTGCACTGGCCTGGGTGAGCTGCGTAGCTATCTTGGCTTGCAGATCACCCGGGATAGAGCACGGCGCACCATCACCCTGACTCAAACACACATGGTGCACCAGGTCCTTCAGCGCTTCGCCTTCCAGTACTCCTCGCCACAGCCCACTCCTCTGTCTACCGGCCACTCGCTCTCAGCTCCACCTTCGGACGACTCCGTAGAGCCGAGTGGTCCGTACCCAGAGCTTGTGGGTTGCCTCATGTACATGATGACGTGCACACGATCTGACCTCGCGTACCCTCTCAGCCTCCTGGCTCGCTACGTGACTCCCGGTAGACATTGAAAGGTACACTGGGATGCTGAGAAGATGGTACTACGTTACTTGTGCAGTACATCGGGCATGGGGCTAGTGCTTGGAGGACAGGGTTCAGTGGTACTCACAAGACACTCCGACGCTTCTTGGGCCGAGGACCAGACGACTCAGCGTTCGTCACAGGGTTACACCTCTAGTCTTGGCTCTGGTTCTTTCTCGTGGAGGTCCACTCGTTCTTCTTCTGTGCTTAGTTCCAGCTGTGAGGCCGAGATCTACGCTGGGGCCATGGCTGCACAGGAGCTACGCTGACTGACCTATCTGCTGACCGACTTGGGGGAGCGGCCTCGTTCTCCTCCAGTTCTGTACGTCGACAACAAGGCAATGCTTGCCTTGTGTCACGAGCAGAGACTGGAGCACAGGATGAAGCACATTGCTCTTCGCTACTTCCTTGCGCGTGAGCTGCAGCAGCGTCGTCAGCTCCGCCTTTCTTACGTGGCCTCGCGGGCCAACACTGCTGATGTGTTCACCAAGGCCCTTGGGTCTGGTGATCATCAGCGTTTCTGCACTGCTCTTGGGCTTGTGCCCACCCAGCCTCACCTGCTGGTTGCTTGACTTGCTCTTGTTGTACACTGATATATATCTTTATACCTGCTTGTTTACTCTTGCTAGGTTGTGATCAGTGTACTGCCTTGCTATTACCACTCTGCATGTGAACTGGCCTTGTGGTCGATTGGTTGTGCTCAGATTGTGTGGTGTCCTTGAGATCCACCCTGAGTTTTGATTTGCTCTATTGTCTTGCTTGACTGGTCTTGTGACCGTCTGTTGTGTTTGCTTTCTCCCATTAAGCCTATGGGGGTGTGTCAAAATTCAATCTTACTTGTAGGCTATAGTGGGGCACTCCTTATGGGATACAACACTTCTAGGGTTAGTACTTGTACCCCAACTCTTGCTAATCCAATCAGTCCTGCAGAGTTATTCTAACAACTTGCACTTGGCTTCTGTGCTCTCAGAATTGAAGGTTAGGAAATACGGTACCTCCCACACAAGTGCACGCAAATACGCGAGTTCCCAAACTCTCATCCCTTAGGCGCCATGCGAGCGTACGTGGCTTCTTGAAAGTTCTCGCTCACATACACCTCCACAAACCCGTTTCGCTGCAGCGCGCGCAAGCACGCGCCCTTTCGCGCTTTCGCATCTGTCACCATGCGATCGTGAAACTCAATCAAGATCTGACCGAACGGCAGCGGCGTTTTCATGCGAAGCCACGCGTCGCACACGTCGAACTCCACCCCCTCCACGTCCATTTTCAACACATCCACGAATCCATGCCCGTTCCCGCACATAAACGTTGGCAATCGCAGCACCGGCGCCGGCATCCCCTGGCTCTCGAACCGGCCGGCAAGTTTTTCCGGTTTGACGGCCGTCATGGACTGCACGCGCGGGTTCTTGGAGTGGAAGAAGGTGACGATGCCGTCAGTGCCGGCCAGGCCGAGTTGACGGAACTGGAAGGCGGCCGGCTGATCGCGACTGTGATGGTCCTTGAACATGGCTTGCACGCGCTCCGGGGGGACTGTGGGGTCGAATCCGAATACCTGGGAGAGAGACGGGGGAGGGAACGAGAAGAGAGGGACGCAGGAAGAGACGCCGGTGTGAGAAGGGAAAAATAAGGGGGGGGAGCTTTGGTGGTCCCTCAACATGGCTTGCACCTGCGCTCCTGCAGGACTGGGGTCGAAATCGAATTCCTCAAGAAGAGTGGGGGGGAGGACGAGAAATAAGAGAGACGGTGTGAGAATGGAATTGGAAGGCGGAGGGCCAATCCTGGCGGCGTGCTGTGGCGGTCGGCCTTTGAATGTGGCTGACACGTGCGCGCTCCGAGGGAAATTGTGGGGTCGAATCCGAAGACCTGGAGGAGAGATGGGGGAGAGCATGAGAACAGCGAGAGATGGTATGAGAAGGGCAAAGTAGCCAGAGTTCGACTTACATGGGACGGCAGCGTGCAACTTCTACCTTTGAGTCAGCTCAAACGCATCTTCTACCTGTCCTGTGGTGGTCGCGTTGCCTGAACATGGCTTACACGCGCTCAGAGGACAGTGCTCGAACATGATGGAGAGATGAGGAGAGGTGAGGGGGAGAGAGGGGAAGAGAGAGGGGGAGGAGAGGAGAGGGGAGCAGCTAGGCAGGTGCGGATTGAGGGACGACATCAGGTGCAGTAACAGTGGCGACGGCTGCTGCCACAGAACACGCGACGCATGCACGTGCTCCTGTGGCTTCTTTTGCAGGCGAGGGCTTGACGGAAGGGGAGGTGGAGACGTGAGAGGTGGGAGAGAGGGACGGGGGACTGCAGCAGCAGTAACGCCAAATGCAATTTTGGAACGGACAATGAAAGGAAAGGCAATCGGGCTTGGCTGACAAGGATAGGACAATAACTTGTCCGGGATAGAATCAGACAGGGTGGGGGTGGGATAGAAGAGGGCAGACTCGAAAACAACGACGTATAAGGTGGGAACAAGAGGCGAGAGAACCTAATATGCCATACTGTGCCATGCCATGCCATGCCATGCTACGCTATGCCATGCCATGCCATGCCATGCCATGCCTGCTACCCCTCCTTCATCGTGCCACTCGCTCGATGGAATGGAAAGACCCCCATCGTAACCCCGTCCTCACAGTATACAGAATGGAAAGACCTGCAGCTCTCCGCCATGCCATGCCAACCACGTGGTGCATGTGGCTAGTACCAACCAAACAACCTCGACCATCAAAAGCAGGAGATAAAGCTTGAAGCGGCTCCAATGTACCTTGCAGCACAGGCCACGGAAACACATACCTTACGAGCTACGAGACAAGCACATACCTTACGAGCTACGAGACAAACACATACCTTATGAGCTACGAGACAAGCACATACCTTACGCCCCACGCTCCCCCCATTTTACATTCCGTAAAACACAACAGATAAGAGACAAGCTAGGAGAAAGGCATGCACCTTATGCCCGCGGTTGACCATCCCGTTGTCAAAGGACACGTCAGCGCCGATGCCAAACGAGTACACGATGCCACCTGGCCGCACGTGATTGGTGCAGAGGCTCCACGCACCGTAGTCATCCCCCCCTCGCCCCCCCACCTTCTCCAGCTTGCATGTGTCGTGCCGCACCAGATGCAGCTGAGACTCGTCCACTCTGTTGGGAGGACATGGGCGGGGGAAAGGTTCAACTCGAATGGTGAGTAATTCCTTCCTGTCCTACGCCACTTGTCCAGCTTGCATGTGTCGGCCGCACCACCTGCAGCTCGTCCACCCTGTGTCAGTAGGGAGCAGTACAGATGGGAACACGGGGTTCCAGATTTCCACTATTGCGGGTAAAGCATGTCAAGCACACTTTCTCCAGCTTGCATTTGTCGTGCTGCGCCAGATGCAGCTGAGACTCGTCCACTCTGTTAGGAGGACATGGGCAGGGAAGATGTTGAGCTAGGATGGTGAGTAATGCTAAACCATCCTTCACCGCTGCTCCAGCTTCCATATGTCGTGCCGCACCAGATGCAGCTGAGACTCGTCCACTCTGTTAGGAGGACGTGAGCAGGACAACAAAAGGTGTTGCTGTTTTACCATCCTACGCCGCTTCTCCAGCTTGCATGGTCATGTGCAGCAGATGCAGCTGAGACTCATCCACACTGCTCAAGGGAGCGGTACCGATGAGAACAGGAGGTTCTGGGTTTCCAATATTGCAAAGCATGTCAAGCAAGCTTGCATGCCTCGTGCCGCACCAGATGCGGCTGTGACTCATCCATCCCTCCTGCCAGGAGCATCCGGACAGGTGGTTATGGCAGTGGGAATGGAAACAAAAGCTTTCGGGTTTTGGGGTGGTGCAAGGAAGGCATGTGAGAGGCACTCATCCAGCTGGTGTCTTGAGAATTAAGCTGAACCAGGATTAAGGTTCATCGTGGAGTTGCTGACCCCCGGGCAGCTTGAGAATCAAGCTGAACCAGGTGGCAGGTGCGGCCTCAGACTCATCTCTGTGGTAGTAAAGGGACAGGGAAGGGTGGGGAGGAGCAGTGGAGGGTGTTGTTCTTAATGGTATCTTCTATTATTAATTTAACACTCACTCATACGGTCCATGTGAGCCACCATGATGTGAGAAACGTGGCTAGAGTGATGAAGCAAGGAACAGCATTGGGGGGCGGCATGGATAAGACAAGACAGCAGCTCGCGCAAGATTCAGAATTCCCTGCTGTGTGTGCCTGCAACCTCTGTACCTCGCAACAAGGGAGTCGTGATGTGGAACAAGTGCCGGGGTAAGAGGCTCGAAAGTGAAACTCCGGTGGGGGTAGGGGGTAGCTGCAGGCCTCTTTGACTGGCGTCAACGGGATTGAGACCCCTTGACGTGAAGCGAGTCAAGGGGCAGCTAGAGTCAGAATGGCAGATGGACTGCGCCAACGAGGGTCCGACGGGAGGAGAATGAAAGACGGAAGGGAGGAGGAAACAAACCAGGGCGAAGACTATGGAGGCCAACACTCCCCAATTAAGTGACATTCTCTGGAAAAATGCCCTTGTTTACTAAGAATCGGGGTGTATTGTGCACATACCCGTTGAAACTTCGCGGCTGGGGCTCCATTTGGGATGACTTGTGCTCGTTCCGTTGCTGCTGACGTGGATCGCCTTGATTGGCCAACTGATTAGCCTGCTCTTGCTGATGCTGCTTCCGCTCCTCCTGCGCCACTGCCTGCTGCTGCTGCTGCTGCTGCTGCTGTATTTGAAAGGGTTGTCGTTGCTCCTCCTGTTGTTGACTCTGCCGCTGCTGCTGCTGGTAGTTATGTTGGGAATTCAATTCCTGCCCCTGTTGCCAGGAAGTCTCCAGCTGCCCGCGGTGCGGAATCCCCCCTCCCATTCCATCACCCCGCCACCCGTTCGCGTCATTGCCCCCCTGCTGAGATGTAACGGCAGAACCGTACGAGCCCTGCTGCGCGCCGGCGCCAGCGGCGTTGGAACCGTACGAGCCCTGTAACGCGTACGCTTCGTGGCGGCACTTGCAACCGAGCTCGTACTGGCGAAAGATGTACAGCTGCGTCGCGAGGCCCAGCACGCACAGGATATGCCACGGCTTTATCTGCGCGGTCGCGTAGTTAAACGCCAATAGTGACGTCGGCGTCGCGGATCGCGCGTGCAGCGGCCTTCGCAGAAGGTTCTGATGACCGCGATGCCATGATGACGATGACATCGATGGTGCTGACGTGTGCACGGAGTGCTAAAATTTTAGGTAGTTTGGAAACAAAACGAAAAAGGCCGGCGTATGAAAGAAATAACGGATTTAGCAATATATGAACGTGTAAAATGTCGAAGGAGAGCTACAGTAGGTTTGACCAAGGTCCGACATTTGAAGAAAAATCTCTAGGCATTGGGAACGCATTGGCGCAGGCTTGGACAGCAGCCGCTGGCCTCAGCAATATTATCGGTACAGCATAGCTCCTGGCAGCAGATGCGAAATCGGAGCGCAATTGACGGAAGCAAAGCTGGCGCAGAAAATAGGCGCATCTGAACTGAAACTAGTTGGTGGTGGGTGGTGCTGCTGCTCTGCTCAATTGTCGTACCAACGTCGTACAGACATCCTTGATTTGCGAGAAGTCCAGGCGCCGTAATATCACTCGTGTTTCGCCACCAGCCACCGTAGGCTCGCTATAGGGAATCCACGGTACTCAGTACTGTGGCGCTTCCCTCCAGACACAGTTACGACTGCCGTTGCGTTGTACTTTCCTCTATAGTGTACTTAATTGCATTAAAAAACTGAGTTGTGTTTCGAGTGTAACTTATTTGGGTGGCCTGTTGCACGGAAGAGGCCTGACAGTAACACGGACAGAGGTGACTGATTTACGTACCACATCCACCTTCCTTTCACATGTTGTTATGAGTTGTAATGAAGAGAGTGCGCAGGATTCAATAACGTGGAAGTGATAACAACTACTGAGCAAATAATGAGGCCTAGCACTAATATAGCAACTGCTAGCTAGGTCGAGGTCGCGGGACCGCGAATGGCTGGGTGTAGGTTCGGGGTTGGGAAACCCGAAGGCGACGCGATGATGGTTCGGAGGGCGAGGTTGTCGGACCGAGCCGGAACTCCGAAATGTTGGGGTCTGTACGCGTACAGTGTGACTCAGTAAGGAATTAGGGAAAATTCCTTACACTACCCCCCCTTTTAAGAAAGGTGGTGTATATCCGGGACACGCCGGCGAGTCAAATAATCCTGCAGGACCGGATGCCCTTGTAGCGAGTCAGCGGCAACGTAGGTGTCGTCGTCGCTTGTACGATCTTTCCAGCGAAGTAAGACGACGATGCGGCGTCCTGAGGCCGTTAGATCCACGCGATGGTTCAGAATCTTCCACGGCTCGAGTGTCGGTTCTGCCACAGGGCGAACACTTGGTGCAATATGTGGCCGGGCGACGGTCGGCGACTGGGGTGCATCGTAATGACGCAGTAGGCTGACGTGGAATGCGTCGTGTATCTTCCAGTCGTCGGGGAGCAACAACTTTGCCGTGACAGGTGTCACCATCTGAGTAATGCGAAATGGTCCCACGTAGTGGGGACGAAGTTTTTGTCAGAATATGTTGTATTTGTCTAGCCTGCAGTGGGGTACTCAATAGTGAGTACAGCCCAATCTAGGGTTTCCTATATGTACTCAACTGCTTGCTAGTGCAATCATCCTTATCTTTTCTTCATTCCTGTTGTTCTTTTCACATGGTATAGAGCTAGTTTCGATCCTTCCTCGGGCCCACCACTTATTTTTTACTGCCCTGCTGCCCGAAGCGCCCTTCGCGGCCCCTTCGCGGCCCCTTAACGGCCCCTTTGTGGCCCCTTAGCGACCCTGTCGCGGCCCTTTGTGGCCCCTTCGCGACCCTGTCGCGGCCCTTCGTGGCCCCCCATTCGCGACCCCGTCGCGGCCCTGTCGCGGCCCCGTCACGACCTAGCCCCGGCCCTGCCCCGTCGCCCGGCCCTGCCCCGTCGCCCGACCCTGCCCCGTCGCGGCCCCACGTCGCGGCCCCCGTCGCGGCCCCCCCCCGTCGCGGCCCCCCGTCGCGGCCCCCGTCGCGGCCCCCCGTCGCGGCCCCCGTCGCGGCACCCCGTCGCGGCCTCCCGTCGCGGCCCCTGTCGCGGCCCCTGCCCCGGCCCTGCCCCTGCCTTGCCGCGGCCCTGCGCGGACCCTGCCCCGGCCCTGCCCCGGTCCTGCCCCTGCCCTGCCCCGGCCCTGCCCCGACCCTGCCCCGGCCCTACCCGGCCATGTCGCGGCGCACCCGGGGCCCGCGCCCCGCCCCCCCCGCCCCTCTTTTCCCGTCGCCCGTCGCGGCGCCCTGGGGGGCCGCGCGCGGCCCCCCTCAGGTCGCCTCGACAGGCGACGGGAGGGGCGATCTGGGGGGGGGGGGCGGCGGGCGTCGCCCCTTCTGCCGCCTGTGTTGGCGCCCTGGGCGGCCGCGCGTCGCCCCCTCCCCCCCCCGTACCCTCCCTACCCGCCATCCCGCCCTGCCCTGTGTTAGGGTTTGGGGGTGGCGGGTAGGGGTTGGCGGGTGTGTGGAATCCCCTGCTCCTCCTCCTCCTCCGTCTCCCACTACTGCAGCTGCCGCTGAGGGGGGTGGGTGTGTGGGAGCCGATGGAGTGGTGCTAGGGGGTGGGTGTGTGGGAGCTGACGGAGTGGTGCTAGGGTGTGGCGTGTGAGCAGAGTTAGAGGTGCAGCAAGTGGTGTGTGAAAGGGGGGTGAGACAGTTAGAGGATGTTGGGCGGAGGCAGCTGTCGTGTCGCCAGCAGCGCCAGTAGTCCGGAGGCTACAATCTCCGGTAGCCCAGCGAGCCTGCTGCGCCAGTCGCCCGTGGGTCCGTTGCTCCTGCAGCTCAGAGTTAGTCGCGGAGCCAGTTACTCCAGTAGTCCGGAGGCTACAATCTCCGGTAGCCACAGTGCGCGCCGCTCCTGTTGCCCGTGTGTCTGCAGCTTCACCTGTCGTCTCCTATCTCTTCTCCTCTCACAGTTCCTCCTCCTCCTCACTTACCGTCTGTGACTGCCTCTAGCTTTACTTATATTTGTGCACTATAAACTGCTACTTCTTGTACTTGTGCTCAGAATGTGTGGTGACATTGTGATCCACCCTGAGCTTGTTTTGCTTTGCTTGTTGTGCTGATTACATGTGAGAATGAGAACGAGAATGGGTGAACTATGAAAATGAAGTGAGTACAAATATGAAACCCTAATTGGTTGTACCCCCTATGGGATACCCCACTATAGCCTACACAACAGCATAAGCTATAATGTTCTGACACACCCCCATAGGCAAAGTGGGGGAGAACAAGGGGTCACAAGACCAGTCAAGCAAAGCAAAGCAAAGCAAGCTCAGGGTGGATCACAAAGTCACCACACAGTCCGAGCACAGGGTCAAGGCCACACTGCCAGTTCACATGCAAGAGTACACACATATATATAGAGCTAGACAAGCAAGAGCAGGTATATATATATATGTGAGAGTACAAGCAAGGTCAAGAGGAGAGCAAGTGAGGCAAGACGGGCACAAGACCCAGCTGAGTGCAGAAGCGCTGATGATCACAAGGCGGAAGTGCCTTGGTGAAGACATCAGCAGTGTTGGCCTCAGAGGCCACGTACGCAAGCCGCAACTGTCCACGTTGCTGTAGCTCACGAGCAAGGAAGTAGCGGAGAGCAATGTGCTTTGTTCTGTGCTCCAGTCGCTGCTCTCGACACAAGGCCAGCATGGCCTTGTTGTCTACGTACAGGACTGGAGGAGAACGAGGCGGCTCTCCAAGGTCGGTCAGCAGGTAGGTGAGCCAGCGAAGCTCCTGTGCAGCCATGGCCCCGGCGTAGATCTCAGCCTCACAACTCGAGCCAAGAACAGAAGACGAGCGAGTAGCCCGCCACGAAACAGAGCCGGAACCAAGGCTGAAGGTGTAACCCTGTGACGACCGCTGCGTAGCCTGGTCGTCAGCCCAAGAAGCGTCCGCGTGCCCAGTGAGGACCACTGGACTCCGCCCTCCAAGCACTAGCCCCATGCCCGACGTACTGCACAAGTAGCGCAACACCCTCTTCGCTGCAGCCATGTGCTCTGGTCTGTGTCTCCCAGGAGCAACATAGCGTGCAAGAATGCTAAGAGGGTATGCAAGGTCAGGTCGTGTGCAGGTCATCAGGTACATGAGGCAGCCAACAAGCTCTGGGTACGGGCCACTCGACTCTACGGACTCATCCGAAGGCAGAGCTGAGAGCGAGTGGCGAGTAGACAGAGGAGTGGCCTGAGGCGAGGAGTACGTGAAGCCGAAGCGCTGAAGGACCTGCTGCACCATGTGTGACTGAGTCAGGGTAATGGTGCGGCGTGCTCTGTCCCGGGTGATCTGCAAGCCAAGGTAGCTGCGCAGTTCACCCAGGTCTGTGCACGTGTGTCTCTTCTGCAGCTCGGACTTCACGTAGGCGAGTCCAGCAGTGTCAGCTGTGGCAAAGACCAAGTCGTCGACGTACACGAGGATGTAGAACGGCGGCAGAGAGGTGTCGGTGCGTAGAAACAGCGACGGGTCGGCAGTAGAAGGAGCAAACCCAAGAGCCGCAAGCGTAGTCCTCAGTGTGTCGTGCCACTCACGT